CCTTTGTATTTTCCGCACTGCGCCTCCTCTGAGTCTCGGTATGCTGTTCTCTTTCCTTCTAGTTGAAGAATTTCCCCTCAGCCAGCTTTCCTGTGGTTCTGGGTGATGTCCGTTCCGTCTTTTAGTTGTATTTTTGAAGTGGTTGTGCGAGGCAGCAATCTCCGGTGTTTACCTATGCCGCCATCTTGGTTCTCCCAGTACTTCTTGAAACGTTCCTCTGCTCTTTGTAAAATGTAAATATTTTGTAAATATAAATATTTTGTAATGTAAGCTATTAAGTTGATTTTCTTTTCTGACTACACCAATTCTGTATCCTTTACTTGCTTCTTTGCCTTTCTGCTAGTTGTGGACACTCCCTAGGAGTGCACATTTCGTTGGCCATTCAAATAACTTTCACTGAGTCCCACCAGCTATGTTTGAGGTGCCCTGCTTAGGAGCCTAACGGGTAGTAGGAATAGGACTGGGCATGGAAGAGGAAACTGTAGTCCCTATTTCTAAGGGCTCTCTCATAGCATTGATGTGTAAAAACAAATATTGCCTTCTCCTCCTGATGGCACTCTTTCAGTTCAGACTACGACCATTCTCATGATCCCCTGAGATGTTGATGTGTGAGAGCCCACATCTTTCACTCATTCTCTACCTCTGATTAGTCAGTTCCTCTTCTAGGTCCTTTCCTTGCTGCTGTCACCACCCAGGTTCCCTCCCCCGTTTCATTTCTTCCCTTCTTCTCTTCCCTCCTCACCATTTTTAGGTCACCTACTAAGTGGCAAGCACTCACATTGGTATTCCTTCAGCTGCATTAATCAAAACTCCTCTGTGGTAAATGATGGAAACCTGTCTTGAGCTTGCTTAAGGAAAAATTAGTGTTATTGACGAATCTTGAATAATTCGCCGAACTAAAGAGATCATTACAACCAAATTTGGAGAAGAAAACCAAAACAGCTTTGATATCTTTAGGGACTGGAACCAGAGACTTGAAAAATCATCAAAATTCTCTTGTCTTCTTGTCTGTTTTTCTTTGCATATTGACTTCATTCTTCCCTTGCAGATTGTCTTCTTCCACATGTGAGGTGTATGGCTGTTGGCAGCTCTGGCTCACTTCTTCTCAGCTTTGCCATCAGAGAGGAAAGAGCTTTCTCCCACATCCAGTTGAGAAAATCCCAGCGAAGAACTTTGCCCACTCTTGAGCCAATCATTATGGCCAGGTGGGGGTATTGTGATTAGCCCAGCTTGAATCTGGTCCCTGCTCCTAGGAAATTACTGTGATTGGGGTGCTCTATGAATACTTCCTCTACTTGCTGCTGGGAGTGTGAGGTGTTGATCAGCAGTTTCCCCAAAAGTAGGGAGAGATTTATATCCCCTAAGAAGGGGAGCATGGCCACTCAGAGCACTTGGAGTCCACTCCATACACTACTTGAGCCTTTGCTTCCATCTCTCCGTTTTCCAGTCTATATTATGGTAAGAGTGTTCTTTCTGAAAGTTCCTTTTTGATCTGACCATACTCTAGTGCAGCATTTCTCCATTTTTAACATCAGAGTCACCTGGAAGGCTTGTTAAGACACAGATGCTCAGCTACCCCACTAGCATCTGATCCAGGAGTCTGGGGTGGGACCTGAGAATTTGCATTTCTGACGTGTGCAGGGGAAGCTGATGCTCCGCGTGCAGGGACTTCACAGCGAGAACCACTGCCCTGATGGCAAAACCCTGACTATTCTTTGCCTTTAGGACACTGACCAAGATCTTTACCTTCTCATGGAAGGAACTCCTCCCTCTGACCCTTTTCTGTTTTTCTCTCACTGTTCCCATTCTAGGATCCCTCTTTGCCAATTTGATTCATCTGATCCCTGTTCTTTAAAATGTTTTATACTTTCTTACCTCATTGCCTTTGAGAATAATTAATTGGAACAACTTTACTCACCACTGAATTCAGGATTTTAACAAAGGCATAACTTAAATTCTAATTCTAACATCATCTCTACTCCAGATAGAAGCAAACTTTGTTTCACAGAACCTCCGTTTATTCATTTATTCAGCAAACATTTACTAAACTCCTGCTCTATGAGGGACACTGTGTCCATAGTAATGAGCAAAACAGAATCCCTGCTCTCATGGAGCTTACATTCCAGTGGGGAGACACTCAACTATGTCTGGTGGGACTAAGAAAAGCTAAGCTGGGCAAGGGATAGAGATAAAAGAGGAGGATGGAGCTACTTCCCATAGGGTATGAAGGTAGCTCTCTAAGAGGACATTTGAGCAAAGATCTGAAACTCAATGGAAGAGCATTCTTTGTATCATTCATGTGGAATGTATTACTTATTACCAAACATTATGGCAATTTTTCCATGTGTACAGTTCTTATCTTCTCCAATAGGCTTTTAAGATTCTGAAGGGCAGTGGTCCCTCACACCACCATCATGTTGCCTCACAGGTGGGCATTTAGTGAAGATATGTCCCTGATGATGATTATACACATGAAGCTGATGATTTCCTTTCCCTATATGAATGTAGAGCCGACATAATATTATCTGAAATGTCACTGTAAGTTGTAATGAAGGAAGAGAGTTGTTAAACTTGAAGTGGGACTTATAATTTGTTATATGTGCTTTCCTCATAGTGAGTCTAATTTTCACAATTACACCTTGGTCTCATTGAATGAAGAATTTAATCGTGGACGAGGACTAAATGTGGGTGCCCGAGCTTGGGACAAGGGAGAGGTCTTGATGTTTTTCTGTGATGTTGATATATATTTCTCAGCCGAATTCCTTAACAGCTGCCGGTTAAATGCTGAGCCAGGTGCGTAAAATGATAGTAGATGAGCTGAGTGTAGAATTTAGAACAAGGTCAGCATGTTGCATATTTTTAATTAAGTTAATTATGTTTTATAAAAGTTATATTAGGTATAATTTAACAATATTAAGTCAAAAGGTGAAAATTTGTCCCTCTGAAGTTCATACGCCTTGTTCTCTTATGGCCAAATTCTAATGTCTACATTTGAATGCAAATAAACAAATGCAAAGAAATAAAGTCTTGAAATTGACAAGGAGGAAGCAGCACCCATCAGATAAAGAGCCAAGCCAGCTGTGTGGAGATATGGGAGTCAAAAGCACTCCATGTCAGGTGATGGCACCTGTACACACACGGGCATTCACACATGCTTGGTCTCCAGACTATGCATGTGGCATGATTTACTATAGTTTGCTTTATGTTATAGATACTTTTAAATGTATGAGCAAATGGCACTTTTATAAATAAAATCTATAAATGCTTTTAAATGTAATTTAAATCTTGAAATGCAAAGCTTTTCTGTATTTTAAGGATCTCAGTGGGTTTTTTAATGTAGAACTATTTATATCTTGCAAATTATTACCACCTTATTAATTAGTTTGGTGGGATGTCAGGAACTCTCTTAGAGCCTATTGAGTAAGCAAGGGTTAGGTTTACTTTTGTTACACCAGACAGCATGAAATTCAAAATGTGTAAGTTGAAGGAGATACTTGCTCAATGTGAAAGAAATGGTTTTATATCCAGAAATAGTTTTGCCTCTGGGAGACTGAGCTCCTCATCCCTAAGTGGGTTTTAAGGAAAGTGAGATGAGATTAGTATCTTCTAGGATTCTTGTAATAAGAAGGCTGCTACCTTACATACAGGGTCCTTGACAACTACTGAGCACTTTATATTATCTCATCTGATTGAGGCCAGTCTTAGCAAGGGGTTCCCCGTTAAGGGGAGATGAGCTAGTTAGTTAGCTGTTAAGGTCCCTTCAGTGCTATCAAGCTGAATGATAATGACAAGACTTTCTGCAGGGGCTGTACATCAGGTATTTTTTATTCTTACCTTTCCAACTTTTCCAAATCTTATTCAAATGTATCTGTAGTTCTGTGTTTTCATTATTCTCTATATTTCTATTCTCTGTACAGTATTCTTTGGATTTACTGTTTCTATGGTTAATTCTGAAGGGTGAATTTAACATAAGTTTCTTGGTGACTGCCAAAGTTAACCTGTATATTCCTGCTAATTAGATGAAATAATGAGTAATAAATGGCTCACCTAATGAATAGCTGAGAAAATAGCTTTGTGTATCTCTCGAAAGTCAAGGGAATAAATGTTTGGAGCACCCTTTAGTGTGTTTTTTTCCTCTGTTGTTTTTCAAGGTTATAATTCCTTGGCCTGGCCTACTGATATGTTATAAAATCATCATCATGTTTATCAAATCAGTAGGATGTTCAGTAGCCTGAATATTAATAAAATACAATATTGATATAATAAAATCATCATATGGGATCAAAGAAAGACTTTAATATAATAACATAATATTAGTAGATATTGTAATATAGATCAGTTCTTCATTTTATGACCTTGTGTGATATAGATGTATATTTTAATTTATAGGTAAGAAGGTGTTTTACCCTGTGGTATTCAGTCTTTACAACCCTGCCATTGTTTATGCCAATCAGAATGTGCCCCCTCCTGTGGAGCAGCAGCTGGTAAGACTATCACTGTATTATGAAAGGCCACAAAGATCCTTTCTAGGTTCCTTTATATTTGTTTCACAAGTAGAAAACAAAATTTCAATAAAAATCTGTAGTTATTATAAACACATTTTCATAGTCTCTCTTTGCTATCCCCATAAAATATTTTCATATTTATTGTTTTAGAATTCTGTCATTCCAGAGGAAAAAAAAGTTTGGGCCACAGAGAAAACTTCATATTTCAGAATGTGAAAATTTTGGTTATTTTTGCCAACATATTTTTAGTAATACTAAAAATAAATTTTAAAAACCTTTGTAACTAGAAATTAAAACTATTAGATAACTAAAAAGGAATAACATACTATAGGAAATTACTTAAAAAGTCATGGCATGGGAATGTCACATGTCGGAACTTATACTGGTACTTATATCAGCATAATAGTTATAGTTACAATAGAGGCCTGGTGCATGGGATTCATGCACTGGTGGGGGGTGTGGCCTGCGGGAATCAGCCCGCTGTGGGAGCGCTGCTCATCCCGGTCAGCCTAGCAGCTGTGGACCCACCCTCTGAGCGGCTGCCCACCCGGTTAGCCAAGCTGCCCTCCCACTGTGGGAGTGCACTGACCACCAGGGGCAGCTCCTGCATTGAGCATCTGCCCTCTGGTGGTCAGTGTGTGTCATAGCAACTGGTCAACCGGTCGTTGTGGTCATTCTGCTTTTCGGTCACTGGGTTTTTATTATATAGGATGAATTTTTAATTTTAAATAAGTAACTATGTTAGAATAATTTAGGTTTACAGAAAAGGTGGGAAGATAGTATAAAGTGTTCCTAGATTTCATCCAGTTTCCCCTAATTTTAACATTTTATGTAACCATGGTACATTTGTCAAAATTAAAAAATTAATATTGCTAAGTTACTGCTAGCTACACTAAGGAATTTATTAGGATTTCACCAGTTTTTCTACTAATCCCTTTACTGTTCCAGGATCCAGTCCAGAATACTATATTGCATTTAGCCTAATTCTTTATTGTTAACATTAGGGAAAAATGGAAACAAATGAACTAAGAAATCAGTTTAAGATGCTAAAAAATTGAATAACTCAGAGGGAGAAAATATAAAGGCATAAATTCAGGAATCAAAAATAATAGTTTGACAAATATAGGAGGTTATTTATTAGGTGCAAAAACATTTTTAATCATATAGTAGGTAAATTCAAGGTAAAAAGGAAAATACAGCATTGAAATTTATAAGAAAACATTGAGAAAATGAATTTTATATATGTTTTAAAAATTCTAAATAAAAGGAAATGTTTGAGAATTTATAAACCATTAATATGAGCTAAATTTGTTAGTGTTTTATAAAAGCTGATGTTAGTATTTGGAAAAACTCATGTTTTGTTAGTGAGTTTTTCCAAATTTTCAAAGAAGAGGTAATATTAATGCCATATGATCCACTTAATATATTTTATGAGACCAGTATATCTTCATACAAATACTTGGCAAAGAATGTACACACACATATATACACATCTACCTATATCTTATTACTTAGGAATATTGATACAAATGGGGTAAAAATGGCAAATCAGGCACCCATATCTGCCTTATCTAGCATCCTTTGTAAAAATAAATTAAGAAGAAAAAAGCATACTCATATTGGAAAATTAGAGAATTACCCTTAATAGTCTAAAGTTTGAGAAATCTCTGTAAAATGGCAGTAGATAAAGGATTAATGGAGGAGAGAACAATCTGGAACATGTTCAGGAGGACATGGTGGAATATGTATTCTTGATTCTCCAGGGGTTGCTAAGCAGCAGGCATCCCAGAGATTGGCCTGCAGTCTGAGGCAGTCTGCATAGTCCCTGGAGCCAGAAAGTTGGGGCAGGGTACTGAGAATACTGAGTTGTAGGGAGGATAGGGAGCCCCAGAATTCGAAGATGAGCTGCTGTTGATACGTTGTACCCTAGACCATGTTCAGCCTCCCTCCACTGTTACTGGAGAGAGGCCCCTGTGATCATAGCTAACAGCCATGGGTTTTGAACAGTGATTTTGTAACAAAGGTGAGTAGCAGTTAAGTAAGATCAGCCAGACACTTGGGGGAAACCAGTGACATGAAAGAGGCAGGATCTCTGTCACCTCTTACTCACTGCTGTGTCCCAGCTCCCAGAACTATGTCCACAGATTAAACACATTGATGTGCAGTGGAGTATCAGTAAAATAAAAGAGGGTTATCAGGCTTCAACTTATTTGATTCTGGGGACTCAGTATCATCAAAGCCCTGAGTTTCTTTCTTTGCTTGGACTTCAGAAGTGACAGCTTTTTTCAAAGCTGGTTTCCCTCATGGTGGAAAAGGACTGTAGCAGTTCCAAACGTTGCTATATCCTACACCTGGGATTGGCAAACTTACTCTGTATAGAGCCACATAGAAAATATTTGGGGCTTTACAGGCCATACAGTCCCTGTTGCAATTATTCAACTCTACCATTGTAACATGAAAGCAGCCATATGAAATTAGTAAACAAATGAATATGACTGTATTCCAATAATAGTATTTACAAAACCTGGTGGCAAGCCAGATTTAGCCCAGAAGCTGAAATGTGCTGACTTCTGCCCTACACCATCCAAAAAGAGCAAGTTTCTTCTCTAGTTTCTTTAGCTTTCTCAAAGGGACAGGAGGCTTTGTTTTCTAAAGTTCTCAACAACCCTCCCCTTTTTTCTAAAGCCTATTAATGAACCAGTTCCTTACTTAAGTGGGGTGAGACTGTCAGATTGGTATAGAGCCCTCAATGCCCAGTCTGAAGGTACAGGTGGAAGGAGTTTAGTTGAAACTCATGGTTGCATGGGGCCAAAACTGTACATACTCAGGAAGGGAATAGGGGAATGGATGCTGGGTAGGCACCAAATAAGGCCCACTCTGTACACTTGATCACAGTGTATTACAGTATGTGCATCTGTTGTGCTCCTAGATTGAATGAAGGCCCTGAGGTCAGGCCCCACACTGCTTGATTATTAGTAACCTCAGCTTGCACCTTGTACAGGGCTTGAACTCAAATATATTGAAAGCAGCCAGATCCTTGCTTCTTGTATTATTAGTTACTAATTATTATTTTCCATATAAACAACTGTAAACCTTTTTCCCCACTCTGTATATTTTTTGGTTTTATAAGGATTTAATAATAAAAAATGTTTTCATTACCAGTTATATAAATGACTGGAAAATTATTTGGAAAGCATTAATTTTTTATTGTTGATTAAAACTTTTTCTAGTCCTTAAGGGACTAATTTTATTTATTTATCTTTCTCTAACGTAAGGTTCACAAAAAGGATTCAGGCTTTTGGCGAGATTTTGGCTTTGGAATGACTTGTCAGTACCGATCAGATTTCCTGACCATTGGTAAGTATACCTTACATTTAAGGATGGGACTTTATGAATTTACAGTACTACCTTATGGAAATTTCTAAAAAGTTTCAGATTTGAGTATTTTTCTATTAAATTATAAATGTCTGAGAATAGCTGTAAAGAGGAGCCTGGATATAGGAAATGCAACATGAGTTTATAATTATATTGTCTTTAAATAGCAAAAATGACATAAAGATAAAATAAAAGTGTAATATATTATTGTTTCTTTAAAACACTACTTTTGATATCTGTGTGACTTGTTACCATATTTGCAGTTGATTTGAATTCTCTAACAAGAGATCTGTTGTAATCATGGGTTGTTATAGCAGAAAGTAATGTTGAGTTATCTAGTCCAAAGGCTTTTATATTTTTTATTGAGAAATGAAACCCCCTTTAATTGTCTATTGAACTGTTATGCAAAATTCTAGTATCTAAAACAAATGAAAAAACAGCTGCTCTCTCTGACTCTGGTTGAATTTAGAATTGGGGGGTGGGGGACGGCTAGGAGTTACTAGCTTAGTCCCCTAAACCGGAGATGACCATGAAGAATTTAATTGAAGCTTCCTGCCCGACCCCAACTCCATTCTTACCCAGCAGAAAATAGTGCCAGTGCAGTTTCAGAAAGCAGGGTGAGACTTCCAGTCATGATGGCAAAGTAGGTGAACACTGTGTTTGCCTGCTCCCACAATTACATCAAAACTACAACTAAATTACAGAACAACCACCCTGAGAACCACCTGAAGACTAGGTAAACAGAACTCTTATATATAAGGATATAAAGAAGAAGCCATGTCGGGACTGTTAACTGGACAGAGTTGTATAACAGGCTAGTTCACACTCACATGTGAATTAGGAGGGATATTTTGTCCATAGAGGTCCCCCCTGAGAAACAAGGGATCCCAACCCAACACCAGGCTCTGCAGCCCAGACCACCAGTGCTAGGGGCAGCAGCTTAAGAAACACCAATGACAAATAGGAACTGAACTGTTGGGCTTTGGGGTGAGCACTGGAGAGGCAGGTCTGTCCAAGACAAGTGCTGGCAGGCACCATTTTCCTTTGTTGAGCCCTTCCCCCACCCAGCCTGCAGGTGCAGGCAGTAACAAATCTGAGTCTGCATGAAACTAGATAACACAGTTCCCACCACCCTAATGATGCCCTGAGACCCCGCCCCATCCAACCTGTGCACCGGCCTGAACATCTTTCAGCAACTGTTCCTCACAAGCAATGGGCTGCAACCCATGCATGCTGTGAATTCCCTTAAATCTCTGAAAAGTCCACATACCCCAGACAAGCATCAGCTGGCCTCAGCATGCCCTGTACTTCTTGCTAAGTGACCCTCAGCCAGGCACTAACAGCAGCCTGCCTTGATTCACAGCATAACCACACCCAGGTGCCTTCAATCCCAGAACAGGCAGCTACCAAGAACTGATCACTTTGTACCTCCTACCAGGTGGCCTCAGGTAGGGAATAGGCAGAGGCTGACCGGGGCCTGCACTGGAGCCCCTCCCAAGAGGCCCCAGGACCAACAGAACTAACTGCCATCTTTCTTGTATGGAGACCACACTAGAGCACCAACCAATTAGCTCCAAAAAGACACACCAAACGGGTGGGCTCCAAAGAAACCAGAGTCCCACTACAGCAAATCCCAGTCAACAGCTCATCCTCTGTAATCACAGCCAGTCCTCACAGCCAGTCAGTTAGAGAGTCAGTTCTACCTGCTGGAGTGCCAACAGCAATCAAGACTCAACTACAACGGATGAGAACACACAACCCACACAAAGGGTAGCCCTGGAGCATCAGGCTCAGGTGACGAGGGAGACAGTGCCACTGGGCCCCACAAGAAACCTACTACAAAAGGCCAACCTGCCAAGACCTGGAGATGTAGCAGAGCTACCTAAAATGTACAAACACAGAGAGGCAGACAAAATGACATGTCCCAAATGAAAGAACAGGACAAAAGTTCAGAAAAAGAACTAAACAAAAAGGAGGAAAGCAATCTACCAGATACAGAGGTGAAAACATAAGGATGCTCAGTGAACTTAGGGGAAGAATAGATGAACAAGTAAGACCTTACACAAGGGGACCGAAATCATAAAAAAAGAACTAGTCAGCGGCCAGTTACACTTCCACTTACCTCTTCCCAGTACCAAACTGAATTACAATAAAAATATAGAACAGTCAACCTGAATAACCAACTGAAGACTGCTGAACAGAATTCTTATGCTCACAGGTTTACAGAAGCCACATAGAGACTGGCAGGAAGGGCAGAGGCACAGAGAGGGCTGGCGCCACTTCCACTGGTGTTGGCTGAGATTCCTGAGGGATATCTCAGCTACAGAGGTTCCCCCTTACGAGTATGGGTCTCAACCCCACACTGGTTCCCCAGTCCAGACCACCACGTGTTGTGTGGAAGAAGCACCCACATAACCTCTGGCTGTGAAAGTCAGCTGGGATTCTGACCACCAGGGCAAGACGGAGTCTGCTAACGACCTAGCGCCCTCCTAAAAGGTCAGCACACAAGATTTCATTCGCAGCCACTGCCTGGGCTCTGGCAGAAGGAAGGCAGAGCTGATGAGAATCCTGTGAGGACAGACTGGGTTTTGTGGCTGCAGGGACAGCTGCCAGGGTCCCTGTGCTTAGTTCCTCTCACACACTGTGGATGCCGTCTTTCTTGTGTGGAGCTCACCTTTCTAGATGGCATCAGCCTGGGGGAATGCATAGTCCCACCTCTGGACTCCCTGCGGCCCCATGCTGCAGAGCTCACACCCTGCAGAGGAATCAGCTGCCTGGGCCTAGGTGTAGAGGCCTGGGCAGACTCAGGGTGTCAGTGATTGAGTTGAGTGGGCAAAAGCCATTTTTCCCACCATCCCAGTAGCCTGACTAGCACCTCCCACTAAACCTTAGTGACTAAGGGGAGATCCACCAGCCCCACCCTTTGGGTTTTTGGTGACCCTGCACTGCCGGTACTGAACTCTCTGTGATGTCCAGGCAGAATCTGGAACGGGCTGAGTTGTGTGGCTCTAAGCCATGGCCATTTTTCCTTCACACATCTGACCATTGCCGAGCCCTCCCTTCACACAACCAAATTTTGGTCTGTTTGGTCCTGATAAACTCTGCTGGCCTCATCCTGATGACTTTCTGACACCCTACTCTACCACAAAGGTCTGCAGGCACTGGCAAGTGGCAGGTAGCCTTGTGCTCTGGGACGTTTGCTGAGTGACCACAGACTCAGCACTGCCATGGAGGTTGAACCTGTATTGAGCCGGTGGACACCACTCACCCTGGTGACTCACTGAGTACCTAGCGCACACAACTCACATACCACCAGAGACTCTCAGAAACTAGCCTACCAGGCAGCCAACGGGGGAGGCAGGTGAATCAGGTGGAGGCCTTGTGCTGACCTGCCTCAGGCTTCTTGCTGGTGGAAGCTCTCCTTGGTGTACAGTTTGGTTCTCATGCAGCGGCAGCCACAAAGTAGATCACTTTGTAACTTCAAGCAGGTTGCCCAGGGCCAGTCACAACCAGCGTCTGATATTGATCTGCACCAGACTCCCTCCCAGGAGGCCCCAGAACCAACACACCCCGTTGAGAGCTTCACACAACATCAGAGCAGAATCCAGTTAGCTTCAGAAGTGGCACATCCAAAGGGAGATCTCAACAGGCTCTAGAACCTGCTCAATCAAATTCTGCTGTGTGTGGTCAGCACCACACAGAAACAACTACAAAGAGGCAGCAAGAGGCGGAGACAAATAACATGTCCCAAATGAAAGAACCATAAAAAAGAACCAGTCAGAAAGTAGAATACAATATCTGAAATGAAGAATACACTAGAGCCCTAGCTGGTTTTGTCCAGTGGATAGAGCGTTGGCCTGTGGACTGAACAGTCCTGGGTTTGATTCTGGTCAGGGGCACATGCCCGGATTGCAGGCTCAATCCCCAGTGGGGGGCATGCAGGAGGCAGCCATTCAATGATTCTCACATCTTTGATGTTTCTATCTCTCTCTCCCTCTCCCTTCTTCTCTGAAATCAATAAAAATAATAAAAAGTATTTTTTTAAAAAGAATACACTAGAAGGAATAAACAATAGGTTAAATGAAGCAGAGGATTGATGATATGGAAGACAAGGTAACAGAAAACACCTAATCATAGTAGCAAAAAGAACATTTTTTAAAAAATTAGGGTAGTTTAAGAAACCTTTGGAACAACATGAAGTGTAACAACCACATCATAGAGGTACCAGAAGGAGAGGAGCCAGTGGCATTGAGAATCTACTTGAAGAAATATTCTTCGTGCTTCTTTAAAAAGTTTTTTGTTTAGCTCAAACTAGTCTCAACTTTAACTCCCATTTCCTGTGCCCCCTCTAGTTAGCCCTCTGCCCCATTACTCCATCAGAATTGTTCTATGTGAGGTTATAAGTGATATTTATGGTTCATTTTATGTTCTTAACTGAGCAGCTGCATATATTTGACCATTTCTTCCTCAAGACACTCTCTTCACTTGACCACGGTGATATTTTCTCCCTCTGGGGCCATTTCTCAGTCTCTTATCTTTCTCTGCCTATTTAACCTCTAGATGTTGGCAGTTCTGTTTAGACCTGGGCTCTACTCTCCTTGTAAACCAGTCAGTCATTTCATCCATTCCTTGTGGCTATAAATCCTTTGTGTAGTCATTCTCAGACTTATATCTCCAGCTTAGCCATTTCTTCTATGTTTCCCCATTGGTAAGTTTTATTGACCCAGAAACACTTGCATTTCAAAGGTTAGAAAGAAAATGTAATAAAATATTAATGATAGTGAGATTATGGGTGACTTATATTTCCTCCTTTACTTGACTTTCTAAAGATTTTCTGTAGATCTTTAAAGTTTACAAAGCTATATCAAATATGTATTTAATTTAATTCTGACACTCAACAACAGTCCTCGAGTTCCTAGGTGTCATCTGGTAACTAGACTTCCCCAGTTGAACTGTTCTGGCTGCCAGGCAGTTACTTAGAGTGTTATTTTTGATCCTGCAGGTGGATTTGACATGGAAGTTAAAGGTTGGGGTGGAGAAGATGTTCATCTTTATCGAAAATACTTACACGGTGACCTGATTGTGATTCGGACCCCGGTTCCGGGTCTTTTCCACCTGTGGCATGAGAAACGCTGTGCTGACGAGTTGACCCCTGAGCAGTACCGCATGTGCATTCAGTCCAAAGCCATGAATGAAGCCTCTCACTCGCACATGGGAATGCTGGTCTTCAGGGAAGAGATAGAGACACATCTTCGCAAGCAGGCATACAGGACAAATAGCGAAGCTGTTGGTTAACCTAACCATCGACACATTAGTCCGAACCATAAACCAGCAGCAAACCACAACCAGCACTATTTATTTAGCCTTAATTCCAGTGCCAGATGCAGTGCCTCTTTCAAAGAATACATGCTTGTCTTCTGTACTCTTTCCAACATTACTTTACCATAGCAGTATAACTTCATATGAGAAGAAAAAGCAACTGTTTCAATGCAAAGCCTGTTTGTGAGAATATTGCACTATGGAATCATTGATAAATCAGAATTTGGTGTTTGGTCCCAAAGTCGTTTTGAGTTAGTCTGTACTCCGAGTCCATGTTCTGATGTTTCCTGGCTGCACCTGGGCTAAGGGATGGAATGTGTTGTGATGATGGTCAGTAAGGAGCATCCCGTCCCCGCAGAGGTAGAGAGTTACAGATGGGGTGTCTGGACAAGGGCTCTTCGCTGACCACTGAGTCAACTTGCTTGGTTTTTATTTTTATTTTTTTATTGATAAGAGAGAGAGAGAGAGAGAGAGAGAGAGATATCAATCGTTGCCTCCCTTATGCGCTCTGGGGATTGAACCTGCAACCTAGGTATGTGCCCCGACCAGGAATTAAAACCGCAACCTTTGATTGTTATAAGGGACATGTTCTAACCAGCTGGGCCACCTAGCCAGGACTGTTGCTTGGTTTTTAAATGGAGATTTTCGGTCAGTTGCTTGAAGAATCCTTTTTCAGTGAAGCAGAGGACAGTTACATGACACATCTGAAATCCCCAATCAGGAGGAGACAGAAGTAAAGACCCCTTAACTCCGTGTTGCTTAGTCCCCTCAATGTCTGTTTTTAAACAATTGGGTAACTGTGGGAAATACTTAGATGAGAATCCATGACTTGATTAAAATATAAAGTGTTATTACTTTGTCATAATTTTGGGGATTAGAAGTCAAGTTGCTGTAGAGTGTAGACTGTTTTGAACTGAAATCGACATGGAAACGTCTTAGCAGACACTTACTGTGTTGGAGTTCAGGACACTGGTGGTGTCTGGGAGCATCAGTGTACATGAGCCTACACTCTCAGGGCCATTAGTGGTGGGGGTTCAAAAAAGATGAGCATAGCATGGTGCTGTGTGTGTTTGTCTTATCTCATTTAGCATGGGTTCATATGTATTTACTGTCCTTCTTTCCTAATAAGTTAATATATCTACATATGTATTTGCATTATAATACTTTGAGAGTTTCACTGAAGAGAGAAAAAAACAATTTAATGAGATATGCCATAAGATCACACTGATTTGAGAAAAGGGGAAGCAGTATGAAATCTCAATTACAGAATTGTTTTAGAGATATATATTACTTGCAGATAGAATGATGTTTTGAGGTATAAATTATATTAATGAGAAAAGATAAATAAGAAATTATATTCAGATAGGACTATACTATGTTATTTATCACACATGGATCTTTTACTATAGGGTCAATTGCTAGATCCAGAAATTGGAGATACAGTGAAAGGCATGCATAGATTTTTGAATCTTTGGTTTTTAAAAAGGGACCTATGCTGTATTCTTTCTATTTGTATATAAACCTCTGAAAAATCACAGAAGAAAAATCATTTCTCTTTTGGCTCAGTAAATCATACCATTTGAAATATAAATTCTAAATTTCTTGGTGCTACATGAATTCAATTTTACAATAATTCTTACTAATTATTCTTGTAAGTTTTAAGTTGGGGTAGCACTTAGGCTTATTTTATTTTTGAAAATATGTAAAATGTCCAAAATTATTCAGGCTGTTGTCTCATTTTTATACAAGTATTTATTATGAAGACCAGTGAAAAGTGAGGGAACCTAATTATTTGCAAAGGTAAGTTTCAGCTTCTTTTTTGACATAATCAAATGATTTTATCTTCTGGTTTTTTTTAAACTAGCTTTTAATTTAAAGATGGAAGCTAAACAGTGAAAACAGTACTATGTTTTTGACATTAAACGGTACCAATAAAGTATTTTTTATCAAAAATTAAATGAAAATGTGATCATTTCTTTTTGTTGTGAAATATCATAAGTATAGGAATGTGTAAAGCATGTATTTATGTACTTTAAAGAATAATAAAGCAACACCAGGGCACCAACTACCCAAATTAGGATATAGAACATTACCAGTGAAAGGTCTTCCGTGTGCCCCTTCTAATCACTTCCTGATTTTTGTGGTAATTTTTCTTCTTCTCTCATTTTTATTTGTTTGTTTGTTAATCCTCACCAAAGGACATTTTTTCAATTGATTTTTAGAGAGTGGAAGGGAGGGGGAGAGACAAGAGAGAAACATCAATGTGAGAGAGACACATCAATTGGTTGCCTCCCACACGCACCCCAGCCTGGGCCAGGGATTGAACCTACAACCCAGGTGCGTGCCCTTGATCAGGAATCGAACATGTGACCCCTTAGGTGTGTGGGCCAACGCTCTAACCACTGAGCACACCAGCCAGGGCCACTTGTTTTTCTTCTTCTTAGTTTTCCCACCTGTGTATGTAGTATCTCTACCCAATGAACTGTTTACTTTTTTAAATCCTCACCTGAGGACATGTTTACTGATTTTAGAAAGAGAGGGAGAGGGAGGGAGGAGGAGAGAGAGGGAGAGGGAGATGGAGAGGGAGAGGGAGAGGGAGGGAGAGAGAGAGAGAGAGAGAGAGAAACATCAGTGAGAGAGAAACATCAATGTGAGGGAGAAGCATAAATTGGTTGTCTCCATATGCGCCCCAACTCGGGGTTGAACTCACAGCGTAGGTATGTGCTCCCACCAGGAATCAAACCTCAACCCTTTTGGTGAAAGGACAATGCTCCAACCAGCTGAGCCACCCAGCCAGGGCAGTTTTGCCTGTTTTTGAATTTATATACAAATGAGATTAATGCATGAGATTCGTGCACTGCGGGGGAGGGTCCCTCAGCCCGGCCTGCGCCCTCTCGCAGTCCGGGATTCCTCACTCTTACTGCCCACCTGCTTGCTGTTCCTTACAGCTTGGCTTGGTGCTCCTTCGTGCTGCCCTGGATGCGGGAGGCTCCCACCACCATTGCTGCACTCTGCCAGCTGTGAGCCTGGCTTCTGGCTGAGTGGCGCTCCCCCTGTGGGAGCTCACTGACCACCAGGGGGCAGCTCCTGCGTTGAGCAACTGGCCCTTGGTAGTCAGTGTGCATCATAGCGTGCGGTCATTCTGGTCGTTCCACCGGAACAGTCGCTTAGGCTTTTATTATCTAGATTATTTAATTATCTATTTTTAACTTTCAATACTATGTTTTTGAGGTTCACCCATGTTAATCTCAAAATTATTTTTATTACTGACTAGTATGCCACTATACGAATGAATACAGTCATACACTGTGTAATGACCGATTGGTGAGTAATGGGTCATTGTATATGACTGTGGTCCCATAGGATTATAATGGAGCACACCATTGCATTTTAAACCAACTGTTCCCAAATGTTTTTTGAAACCCCACTATATGCTTACTTAGCACTGTTCTAGACATGGAGTGCAACCGTGAACAAGAATAGTGGAGTTTATATTGTAGTTCTGGAGAGACAATGCAGTAGTCACATGTTTGTGATGATACTGGTGGAAGCAAACCTGTGCTGCCAGTCATACAATACAGTACAGTACATATACGTGATAATAAATGAGTGTGTTACTGGTTTATGCATTCACTATACTTGTTACCATGGTTTTAGAGTGCACTCCCACGTAGAGAAAGTCTGCTGTGAAACTGTGCAGCATAACGCTCATGTCTCATGTTTACTGCTGCTCTTGATTGCACCATTTTCTCTTGTGCTTGAGGGAATGGCATGGTGCAGTGTAGCCCGAGTGTACAGGGTGTGTGAAGTCTCCAGCAGTGGGCAGTCATGCCCTGGCCTTGGCACTCACCCTCACTCACTGACTCACCACAGCAGCCTCCAGTCCTGCCAGCTCCGTTCATGGCGAGTGCCCTACACGGTGTTCCACTTTATCTTTCATACTGGATCTTTAATGTGCCTTTTCTATATTTAGATGTGTTTGGATACACAAATACTTACCATTCTGTTAAAATTGCCTCCAGTATTCAGTACAGTAACATGCTGTACAGGCTGTAGCCCAGGAGTAATAGGCTATACCATATAGCCTAGGTGTGCAATAGGTTGTACCATCTAGGTTTGCTAAGTGCATTCTATGATCGCAAAAGGATGAAATTGCCTAATGATACATTTCTCAGAATGTGTCCCGTCATTAAGTGGCATATACTGTATACTACACTATTCATTAATTCTACTGTTTATAGATACTTGAGTTGTCTATAGTTTTTGTTGCTTTTGCTGTCACAAGCAGTGTTTTTTGTTTGGTTTTTTAAAATATATTTCTTTATTGATTTCAGAGAGGAAGGGAGAGGGAGAGAGAAATAAAAACATCAATGATGAGAGAGAATCATTAATCAGCTGCCTCCTGCACCCCCCGCCCCCTACTGGGGATCAAGCCTGCAACCCAGGCATGTGCCCTTGGCCGAAATCGAACCTGGGACCCTTCAGTCCGCAGGCCGACGCTCTATCCACTGAGCCGAACCGGCTAGGGCAGCAGTGTTTTTATAAATACTATTTTATGGGTCTCTTACAGTGTGCGAGAACTTCTCCAGGAGGGATGATGCTGGGTCATTCATTCAGCTTACTCTCCCAAGTACACTGACCACAGCCCGCACTGTGCGAGAGTTCACTTCGCACTCTTGCCAATGCTTAATTCTGTCAGGCTTATTAATTCTTCTAATCTAGCGGGTTTAGGCATGAATTATAATTTGCATTTCCAGTCTTTTTGTCCATTTTTAACAGTTCATAGGAATTTTTCACATATTCCGGATACCAATTCTTGTTGGTTACATGTTTGCAAATATCTTCTCCCAGGATGTGTCTTTTCCCATTCTTGGTGGTACTTTTTGATGAATAAAAATTAATTTACTGTGACTAATCTTCTTCCTTTATGTATTCTACTTTTTATTATTGATGTATGCCCTCAAAGGGAAGGATATCTTAAAGCTATGTTCCTTTCTTCTGCTGCTGCTTCCCCTCCCCCCACTCCCCTTCCCCTTCCTCCCGCCTCCTTGCTGCCACTGCTGCAGCCTCCTCCTCCTCCTCTTTTTTTTTTTTTTTTTTTTTTTTTACCAAGGAAGTTGGACTTTATGATGCACTTTAGGGGGGTTACATTGTTCTCCACTCCTCAGCTTTCCCAGGGCAATCCTCCAGGCCTCTTGCCTCATCCCTCACTCAGACCTCCCCTGGGGGAGAATGGGAGAG